ATGAAAACCCCCTCGAGTTGACCAACTTGCTTTACTACACATTATGATGCCTCCACCATCAGATGGTTGCAAATTGCGTAAGAACCATAGCATATATAATAACGTCAACAGTCCGTAAGAATGCAAACCCCCAGATCTACCAACTAGACGACTAAAGGCGTCAATAATACACCGCAGCAAGCCCAGATGGTCATCAATGACCATTCAAAAGAATAGGACAAGGCACTTTCACCAGGAGATAGGAAAAAGCATCACCGTTAATGACCGCAAAACTATCAAGGATTGATCGCTTAAGATACGCAGACGCTAGGTTGCCCTGTCTGACAAGGAACATGCTAGTTGGGAGGCGAGAGCAGAGGCTGAGCGGCTTAAGGCTTGGGAAGAATACGACGAGAAGATAGATGAGTTCGAGCGAAATCGGCAGCAGAAGAAGAAGACTTCGCGAGACAGTGGAGATTGTTGATAGTTAGAGAAGAGAAAGTGAGCTGACAAGCACTACGTAAGATATCAAGAACTTGGCAATGGACGCTCATCCCCTGCATGTCCTTTCCTTGGCCACCATCAAGCCACTGCATTGAAGGATGGCAGGGAGGGTGAATGGGAGCCAATGGTGTGTTGAAGGCTAACCATGTACATCTGTTCCCATTATCAGAATCTCCATACCCTTTCATATCTGACCCGTCAGTTTTGTTTTTCAATGGTGATGCACAGACGTCCCTCTTTCCAAGGGTCTCACTCCTCCCCATTGCCAAAACATCGACGGGGGTATCGATCGCTCTGGATTCATTAGCCTCACTTTGTGGTAGCTCCCTGGAGATTTGTATACCAAACTACTCTGACTTGAGCACCTTAAGTACCTAGATCTTTTTCATCACTCAAAGGGAAGTTGAATGTTGAGCATTAGCTTTCTCTCTCCTTCCTTGATCAAGGTTTTGGGGTTCCCGGCCATGGTGGCGCAGGAATTGCGGCAGACACCACCGCAGTGGCTCCTACCATGGTAGAATCAACTTTGGCCGCCCCCTGCCTACCTACTTACCTATAGCCACCTCAGGTACCGACCCAGGCAGGTTTAGGTACCTAGGAGACTAGGTGCTCTAGAAGACCCGTAGAAGGAGCATGTGCAGCATGCCTTCCGCTATTCTTCTGAGCATTTACCTGTGGCCATGATTAAGGTTATTCTTTCCTCGGCGCTCTGTTAAGCGGTGAAGCTTAAGCCAAGATAACACCTCATCATGACAAGATTTCTGACCCTACCTAGATAGATAGTACCATTGCATTACTCTCCTGTTCAAGGCTGTTCCGCGTTGGGGGATTATGTTGGGCGCAACAAATTCCGGCAAAACCCACGCTTTACTCGTTCGAATACTTGTACAAAGCTAAACCGAAGAATATCGACATCCCTATTTCTTTTGCAGCCTACGAAGACAAACGCCCTGGGGCTCCCTAGCATCATGAGCACCGAGGAGACCAAGCCCACCTGGCCCCCTTGGGATGACTCAGATTTCCAGCGATTGGAGCGACTCTGTCTCCCTCCTACGAACGTTGAAGTCAATCACCGCACCTTACGCCCCGAGAGGCCTGAGTACCGACATCGCATGCGCGCCCCGCCGAACACGCATTGGACGGAAGCGTTGCGACAGCTGGAGGCAGTCGTATCACATGCAAAGACCTCGTCTCTAGATGATTTTATTGGCCAGTGGAAACCTATGTTTGACATCAAGAACTTACCAATTGTGCTCCAGTCGGTTGCGGCAATACTCTACGAGCAAGAGAACGAGAGTGAACATATTAGGGCAACCATGTCGACGCAGTATAGCGGCATGGTTCCATTCGTCAATCCTGCTCTGCTCGCTGAAGTTGTGAGCCCCCTCTTTGAGCAAATGCTCTTAGTTGACTATGGATTCGGCGTACACCCAATTTCTGGACCGCGCACACTGCCTCACTGGGTTCCGATGCGTTATCTGTTCCCTCGGGTCATCGATTTTAGTCGGCAGTTGGTCGACTTTGCTTGCCACTGTAAGAGAGGTCAGCTTCCTAAGAGGAAAGATTGGGATTACCTGAAGTGGCGGTTGCTGCCCTTCCGGCGTTACGACATGGCAGATTTTAGTATCATGCTCTACTACTTTCACACCCATCACCAAGCTCTCGACTCGACGGAGTACGACAGAGGAATGACGGGATACACAGGAGTTCTGCAAGAGATTATGGACGAAGTTCCTACGAAGGGGGCTGACCGGCTTGTGCGCAAATTATCTACGGACGTCAACGAGATGATACCGAATTGTGTCCGGGATCCCGAGAAGCGAAGAATCTTGACCGCTGCCGCTGAGGATATAGCAGCAAAGTATGGGCTCACTATCTATAACACAGACGAAGGCTATGACCATCAAGCCTCATCGGAGGTGACAGAGCAACTCGGAGGCGTACAAGAGAAGACACAGGGATGGAGGAGCTTTATCTCTTTTCTGAGCGCAGCCAACCTTCCAGATTCAGGTTTCGTCATTTCCAAGGAGAAAAAGGACGTTTAAAGGGTGTTCATAGCTCAATGACTGTCGTTGTCTAAAAGGACTCCTCTTGCCTGCTGGTTTCAACTTCAGGGCAACTCAGCGCTATACAAAGGTTTCAGTCTTGTCTAAGGCATAGAACTTCCCCCGTACTGAGCAGTTGTCAAGGCTCGGCTCGACTAGTTCCTTCAATAGAACTACGCGCTTTCGTCATGAATACAAATTGTCAATAATTCATATGCTATCGTTCCTATTATTTGGTCTACCTAATAGTAATGATGAGACTAGCTTGGCACGTTGCTGCTGAGCCAAAGTCCTTGACCCGCAACAGACCTTCCCTGATCTACAGCGGAAAGTTGTATATACTGAAACAGGGCAGCAGTG